ATGAAAAGTAGCCACTACTACCACCCTCCCTTGCCATTCCTGTTCCCTGGCAGCAACCACCTTCAGATCTTTGAGATGTCTTGTCTGGTATCTACCTTCCTATTTTTAAATAACATGCTGTGCCAGGGGACCTTTGGAAAATCCATCACCTGCTTCCCAAGGCTCATGGCCATTTGTATTGTGACAATCCTTCCTTAATCTGGGAAAAAGACAGACTTGATAAACTGTTCCAATGACACAGTGTTCTCGTTTTGAGTACATGGAGCCAAGACTCAGCCCATTCCATTGCCATGAGATCATTTATGTTAGTTACAAGGTGAGGTATTTTGCAATACTTTTATACCCTGTCTCATGAAAATTTACCAATGTTTGCTACTTTACTATATTTCTATTCAAGAACAAAATACACCGCCCCTATGTGCAACAACTCGATAAGCTGAGTTACACTGAAGTTGAAAAAGTCAGGTTGGTAGGCTGGTCGGTCACTTTACCCCCAGGGGAAAAAGGGAAACCCACCACATGCATGAGGTCAGGTGCGAATGATTGAGAATGTGGATGAGCTTATTCCTCCTAAGAACAGGACAGGGTGGGAGTTAACAGGCGGCAGATGGGTGCGTCTGTCACTGTTTGGACTCTAGGAAGAAAGAAAAACTTCACCAGCAGAAGGCTGAAGGTCCAGTAGAGGTAATACGTGATTATTAATATTATCTTCATATAAAATTTTTACAAGCTTTGTTGAAAACTTTTGACTCTTGAGAGTTCTAAATCTTTCACTCATTGCCTTATTTAAAAAAAAATAAAAAGCAAAAAGAAATAAAAGCGAAAAAACAAAAACAAAAACCAATCAACCACCTTAGGACCTAAAAGGAAGCAGCCTCCTTCATCTGTGGCCAAAAATGTTCCTAAAGCATATTCTTACATTACTTTTTTCTTGTTTTATCAATTTAGACCATGACTTCTAGTTATGGTAGAAAAGAATTTAGTTCTTTTATTTCCCAACATCCCAGTTGTATCAGTTTTTGTTAAATCAGTAGTTGGTGCCATTATTATTATTATTATTACATAAGTATGTTTTCTGCTGAGCTGTTAAGTATACTATGTCTACATTTTCTTTCTTGAAGTTACGTTTTTCCTGCAGTTAACAGGTCTCTCTTTTCTTTTTTTTAGGAGGGAGGGAGAGGGAGAAAGAGAGAGACAGAAACATCGATGTGAGAGAGACACATAGATTGGTTGCCTTCTGCACATGCCCTGACCCGGACCAGAGAATGAATCTGCAACCCAGGTACATGCCCTTGGCTGGGAATCAAACCCAAGACCCTTCCGTCCTCGGGCCAATGCTCTAACCACTGGCCACACCGGCCAGGGCTGTAAAATCTCTTTTCTACACAAACATTAGATATCTGCTATTCGTACCCCACCTCCCTTGTTTCTTGAAACCTCCCCTCCCATAGGGCCCTCTGGGCCTGTTGCAGAGCTGGCAGTCTGGAACCTCTCCATTACTCCAGTAGGTTCCCGTGATAATGAAAATTTTTTGAGAATCTGCCTGTCTGAAAATATCATTATTTTACTGTCACACTTGATTTATATAGTGCTGGGTACAGAATTCTAGGTTAGAATGATTTTTTTCCCTAAGATTTTTTTTTTTTAAGGCACTGTTTCCTTCTCTTCTAGCTCTAAGTGCTACTTTTAAGAAGTTTGATGCATAGACATATGCATAACCCACGGACACACACAATAGTGACGTGATGGTCTGGGAAGACGGGTAGGAGTGGGGAGAGGGGGTCAATAGCGGGGAAGGGAACAGCTGTAATATTTTCAACAATAAAGATAAATTTTTAAAAAAGTCTGATGCCTTTCTGATTCCTTGCCCTTTGCATGTGACCTTTCATTACTTCTCTGTAAGTTCTAGTATCTAATCTTCACCCCTGGCATTCCTACACTTCATGATGACATGCCTGCCTACGAGACTATTTTTACTCCTTGCTCTGGGTTGTTGGCAGGCCCTTTCCATTTGGAGACATGTCTCCTTCAGTTCTGGGAAATTAATCTGTGTTATTTGTTTGAGAGTTTCCTTTTGTCTATTTTCTCTCTCCTGGAACTCCTATTAATCAAATGTTGGACATCCTGGATTGATCCTCTCATTTTCTTTTCCCCCCTATTGTCCAATTCCTTGTATGTGTGTTATACTTCCTGGAAGACTTTCCTGACTCATCTTCTATTTCTTTGGATTGGGGGGGCCACCATAATTTTAAGTTCTAAGAGATCATTTTTACTCACTGTTCGTTTTTAAAAAGTAGCACCATGTTCTTAGTTTAGGGATGCAGTTACCTTCTCTTATCTCTGTGAGGGTATTTATAAAAGCTTTTACTTTTTAAAGTATTCTTTTACCTTGTGCATTATCTATTGCCTCTTACTTTAGTTTTCCTTTTATTTTTGGCTTTGTCCATTATGTTGGAGAATTTTTTCAAATGTCCGGAGATTTTTGGCTGTCAATTTATGTTTAAAAGTAAGGTATGAAAATGTTGATTCAAAGTTCTATGTAAAATATCCAGGGCTTGTTGTCGGGTGACCTTCATTCTAGGACAGTTGGATGAAGAGGTAGCTTTCTTACCAAAAGCCCTCTACCCTCACCCCCAATTTTTCCTTCTAGGGACATATCATTTTCAAACAAGTTTCTGCAGATTCCTGCTTGGGGGAAGAGGGGAAGAGGAGAGTTGGCGATACCAGGTCACTTGAGCTCCTCAAACAGGGAAGGTAAAAGGACTGGGTAGGCCCTGAAGTTAAGAATGCAGAAACTCTCTGACAGCACTGCCTTTTAATCTGCCTGGCATCTTCAGGAGGAGTGTGTCACCAGCTGAATTTCTCCCTAACCTATAGGTTTCTGTGGGGTGGTACAGCTGCAGAGGGTCAGGGAGAGGACCTCAGGTCTAACTGCTCTGTGTCCAGGCTGAATTAATCCCTTTGTTTTTCTCCATCTGGCTTTCTACAATACCTGAAGTTTCCATCTTGACCCTTTCTGAGGTTGCATAAGGCATATCATCTCATTTCTCACTAGTGTCTTTTTCTGCAGGCATTCTGTCCCTGTCTTGGGTTACAGTGAACCCTGCTCTGCTAAGTCAGGTCCTCCTCCATCTACCATTTCTCATGTACTCTTGTCTTCTCTCCTATTCTCTTGGAAGTTTATAACTTTTAAATTCTTCTATCATTATTTCAGTAGGGTTTTGTTGTGGTGGGGAGAGAGACAGATTAAATGTGTATGTTCAATTTACCATATTAATTAAATGCCCCTGTAATTGCCCTTTCTTCATTGGCTCCTTTTCATTAGCATTTAAAAAAAATTATTTTACTGCAGCAAGAACATGTAACGTAAGATCTACCCTCTTAAAACACATTTTTCAGTGTATAATAGGTTACTGTTAACTATAATTCATGAGCACTTAAACATTCTTAAGCCTCTTCAATATTAAGGAAATCAGGACTAATAAAAATTTTCCCTTGATGCAATGTCTCCTTACACCTACTGCATTCTCTTTTCCTTCCTAGCCAAACTTCCTTAAACAGTGGTTCACACTCTCTTACCTCTTCCTCACCACTCCCGAATTTCCCAATATACTGCCACTACCTTCTACCCCATCACTACACTGAACCCATACATTTATAACTGAAAAATTGCCTCTTTTCAGACAAAACAATCTCTCCATAGACAGATACTCTGAGCCGGAGGGAAGGACAGACAGACATCCTATACCTGTCTTCCCCCAGAGTGACCCAACAGAAAATAAAGGTAACCTTAGATATTTGTCTGCAGGGATGGGGGTTCTCCATGACAAAAAGCACAAGTAGAGGGAAATCCATGGAAAAAGTCCTGAGAAAGAGAAACTGCCCCAATACAACCAAAGCCCTGGGTACAGCAGACACAGAGGAGGCACCGCTCACAACTTTCCACTCTGGGCATGACTCTGAGAAAAGTAAACCTCTGTTCCTACAAGCCTGCCAGTGCTCAGTTCAATCAGCTTTCACTGGTATTTAAATGTTAGAGAGTATGGAATGCACCCATGATAATCCTCCCATCCCCCATCACCACCATATATACATATTCCCTCCAAAAATAGCAGGAAGCACCACCTCCAGTTGATGCTGTATGTCCTGGACAGACCATGAGCCATTTATTAGCACCAACAGCCACACTGTTCCTTCCATCTTTTTCTTTGAAATTCAGCCACCTCTATGAAAGTATATGCTAAAAATCCCGATGATGAGTACACTGGACCCAATCATTCTTCAGGCTTAAGTAAAAGTGAGGAGATAAATGAGTAATTAATGTATATTGTGGTTGGTTTTCTTCTTCATTTTGACCACTTCTTAATTTTCAACAACCACAATCATCATTGACCTTATACTGTAATATCATGTGATATATATGCTGTTGCTGCCTTTAACCGGAGTCCTCTTCCTTCATTTATCTGCCTAACTCCCATCTGGCTTCTCAGATAGCTCAGATACCAACTCTTCCAACATTCTTTCTTACCCAACCATAATCCTACCCCAATTTCTCATAATAGTCCTTCTGTTACTGAATTAAAAGCCCCTCCTCTGGGTTCCAAAGCCATGCTCTACCTATCACCTTCACAGGAGTGATCACACAGCGCTCTGTTTATTAAGACACACCTCCCCATACAGTCTTTGACCTCAAAGGCAAGGATCATCGCTCATTTTTATTTTCCAGTTTATAGCACAGTTTCTGGTATTTAGTAGACGTTCTAAAATGTGTGTGAAATGAGTGAATAAACATATGAATAAACAGATGATATTTAGACTTTAAAACAGAATTATAGAGATGGGTCTTTCAAAAACATTTAGTCTGTCCTACTTCATCCAAACTTCCCTAGACAAGTATTTCCTAAGAGCTGTGACAAGATATTAAAACAAAGAAATCATTATCTATGTTCAATAAAACATAAACACTTTCTAATGTAAAGAGGGTTAAATAAAAACCTTACCGGCAAAGTTCCAGGCAGAGATGCATCAAAAAAAGATACTAAAGAATTCGGAGGTGCTGCAAAGAGGACTTGAGATCCAGAGAAGAGTTTTGAGTTGGAGGAAATTTGGGCATGAATTTCCAAACCTACCACAGCTGCCCATTCATGTTCACTAAAGAGAAAGATATAATGGTTAAATAGTTAGATCTGTCACCACACATAAATTTCTATGAGCCTACACCACAAATGTTAATTTCTTATTTGTGCTTTCAACTTATTAAAATTTTATTTCCTTACATTAAAAAATGTGTCATTTTGTATTAGTGATTAAATGGAAAACAATTCATAATGAACACCTACAAGACCAACAAAATAAAATTCATTTACAATGTGGCATAGAGTTCACTGTACAAACAGTAAGGTGACAGAGAAAGGAACAATTAGACATCTTAAAACAATTTACAAATGGTGGTGCCTGCTTGGCTGACTTCAGTGAAAAACAGCCTTCTCTAAATTAACTGTCTTTTATCAATTAATCACCCAGCAAATGAAGAAAGCTGTTGTTTCAAATATTTTTAGAATTGTCAGAATTCTACTAGAGAAATAATGGTAAGTAAACAGTTGCACATCTCATTATTTAAAAAGGGAAAGTCTCAGTTATGTTTTGAATTCATTTTATAATAATGACTTGCAAGTAAAATGATCAGTGACATGGATGTCATCAATCACTATTAAATAACACTCTCCTGGGAATTTGGTGAACAGGAAAACATTAAACCATCAGATCTGGCATTTTTTTCTGGTCTCCAAATCACTTTCAGTTCCCAAGATCTAGTTTCAGGTTCTTTTGCTTGTTTCTTATGCTTGATTGCTGTCAAATCTACGAAGCTGTTAAATGCTATAGTCTCTCTTAGCTGGCCACTTCTCTGATGAACGTTCCATATACAGGTCTCTCCAGGTTCTTATAAGTGTCCCTCTGAAACTCAGATATCCTGGACAATTTGCAGATAGCCTATTCACACATACTCTTTCCATATTTTGTCGGTTCCTATCCTGCTCTTCTACCACGCAATTTTCTATGTTATCTAGGTTTTTGTTTACATGTTTTGGATTTTGTTTTAATCATTTCAACACATGAAGTTCTATGTCTATAGTATTGTAAGAAAATTAATTCCTTCTCTTTACAGTTTGGAAGCATAGCCTATAATTGAGAGGAATTAAATGATCACTTTGTTAGGAATTCTGCGTTTCCTTAAAACATTATTCAAAGTAATTTTGCAGTTTCATTACATGAGAGAAAAAATACTTTCCATTGACAGTGAGATGATCTAATTTATGAAAAGTATAGAAATTGAATGCTCTGGACACTTTCCCTCTCTGTTCCTCCAACTGAAAAGCAAAAGTAATGCCAACCTATCTCAAAGGATTAACAGAATATTAGACATGAGCCTTATATTTATGTATTTAAAAAGAAATTGTTTTAAGTCTTATACAGTGAAGTATAAACAGCTGTTCAGAGGATATCTAGCAATATAAGCTAAGCTCTCTACACAACCAAAGGAAAGACTTCTTGTATTGGCTGCATCCCCTTAGGTCCAGACATACATGTTCAACATGAAAGCCTCCACAGATGGGTGGTGTTTCCTGACTAATGACATTAAGCCGCCCCTATCCAGAGCTTGTAGGTAAAGGCTCCCTTTCTACCTCTACAACACTGCTAGCCCATAGGAGCGCTAAATGTCAGCTAGATGAGATCCCGCTTCCAGTGTCAGACCCCACTGCTGGAACTGTTAGTAAGGGGACTGACTCCACTCTTCTGTCTGTGCAACTTTTGATTCAAGAAAACACCGGCGGCCCCGGCCGGCGTCGCTCAGTGGTTGGTAGAGCGTGGGCCGCGCACCGAAGGGGAGACGGTTCGATTCGATTCCCGGTCAAGGGAACATGCCTCGGTGGCAGGCCCCATCCAAGGCCCTGGTCTGGGTGCCGGCGGGAGGCAACCAATCTTGTCTCTCTCACGTCGAAGTTTCCCACCCCCGCCCTTCCACTCTCTTAAAAAACGGAAAAAATATCCTCGGCTGAGGATTAACAAAAAAATAAAAACACCTGCGATTTTACACTTGCGAATTGCCCCAATACACCGTGTATCTATTTGAGGAGAGCGGTTTATGTGTGGAGGCGGGGCTCACAGAGGGCAAATTTCAGGGCTGCCAACACCCTCCCGCTCAACAAAACGTCTAAACTGAAGGTTGGGCTGAGCGGCCATCATCTCCCCGGTCCCGCAGTTGCACCTCACACTGGAGTAGGCAGTATGGTATGAAATCGTATACCCTTTCCTCGGCTTCTGGGCCGTGCTGAGGGGCTGCTGAGCAACTGAGCTCTGTCCCCTTTTCCCGCTGGACCTGGACCCAGTCGGAGCCCCTCTTCCGTGGCGAGAATCGCGGGCAATGCATGCTAAAGCCCAACGCCTTGCAGGACCACACCAACGCATCACGGGCGCCGCCATCGCCCCTCCGCCGTCCTGGTCAGGTGACGCAGCCTCCCTCCGCCGCGAGGCTCTCTGGGAAGCGTAGTTCTAGAAATGTGTAAACCGCTATAGGCTGCGGCCGGAAGACTTCTACTCCCGGCGAGCACTGCGAGTCGAAGGCGGCCGGATCCCTGGCTGGGACCCGAGGGAAGGAGAAATAGAGGAGAGCGTGGGCGGGTTTCCGGGTCGGCAAAGGTGACGCCTCCTAGGGGGGGCGGTTGGAGAGGTTCGTGGCCGTGAGCGCGTGTATTGTGTTTGAGTGAGAGCAGGTGGTGAGGGGGAGCCAAAGCTGAGAAATCTGGCCGGCGTTTTATATCCCTGTAACCTTTCGAGCTGAAGTCAATGACCTTGACATATCTTGAAGACTTCCTAATCTCCCAAACCCGCTCCGTTATTTTCTCTGTCTACTGCCCCACGTCACACGCCAATTTGTGCATTAAGGCAACAAATAATTTGCATGCCTGCTCTATGCCGGGCACAGTTCCTAGGCCCTGGGGATGCAGCAGTGAGCAGGACAGTATGCTCATGGAGCTTATACACTTGGGAGAGGCGGCATACAGAAAAGCTAACAAATGAGATACAGTACTTTCAAATGCAGGTGTTATATTTAAGCAGCGGTGCTTGGAGACAAACAGACCGAGGCTGAGCCTTCTAGTGCATTTTAACTTGCAGGCCTAACTCGTTTTATTGCACTTTGCTCCATTGCACTTCACAGGTGTTCAAGGGAAAGCAAGACCCTCCATGAGCAAAAAGATGAGGCTCACTGGGGTACTCCACTTCACTACGGTAGTCTGGAACCCAAACCTACAGTATTTCTGAGGTGAGCCTGTGCTTGCTTTATTATGGTGGCCTGGAACCGAACCTGCAGTGTCTCCAAGGTATGCCTGTATTCTCCTTTATGTTCTTGGCCAGTATTTGAAACGGTCTTCTTATATGCAAGGAAGCTTGATAGCAGATACCATCATCCCAGCTGACTTCCTTTATTTTCCTGCTAGGAAACTCATACCCCTTGTTGAAATTACCATTGATCTCTCGCATTTGCGCACACAATTTAGAATAGCCATTCAGCCATTCTCTGTTATGTCACCCTGTTTTAATTCTCCACGTAGTGCTTATGAACATCTGATGTTTTTTGGAGAATTGGTGTTATTCAGCACAGTATTACTAGAGTACACAGTAGGCCCCTCACAAATACTTGTTGAATGAAGTAGCACAGTGTGGAGAATGCATTGGACAAAGGGTGGTGGGGGTGCTCTTTTTTAGGAGGGAGATGATGAAATTGTGTGGTGGTGGAGGCCAAGAGAAATTGACCTATGTGAGACAACTTGAGAAAGTAAGATTGAAGGACTTGCTGGTGGATTGGATATGATGGTGGAGGGCTAGGTGGGGGTCAAGCAACTCCTAGATTTCTGGCTTGTACAGCTGGATGAGTGATGGAGTTATTTACAGACAAGGAAACTAGAAAAGAAAAGGGTTTGCAGAAAAATATGAGTTTGGTTGCCTTAGAGACATACAAGAGGAGAAGTCAAGTAGGTATCTTTGATGCCTAACTGCATATGGAGCAGGGGAAAAGCTGCGTAGTCTGCATACTTCATACTGATAGATTTTCAGTTATTGATCAATAAATAACCTATTAATTAGACAACTGTAACCTATAATATATTCCCATTAATACTCCTGTACAGTTATGATATTATGCAATTTAATTCCTTCACAGAGCCAATTTTAGTTACTGTCCTTAAAATTGTCATTATTTACTTTTTCTATCAATTTTACTTTTTCACCCATTATCATTGATCCAAATTGCTATACCAGAAGTATTTTCACATGACCAAAGATGAAAATGAGAGAAATGACAGAGACTGCAAAGTAGAGATGGAGATTTGTTCCAAAATTTATCTTTAATTATTGCCCTTTGTATCATGTTCAGCTCATTCTTTAGATCATTCAATAGTTTCTCTCTGTATTTCCCACCTTTACTCTAGGTAAACTTGCTTTCTCTTTCTCATTTAGCTCCTCAGGTCTTTCTGGCCCAGACTTGGGGTCAGGAAGTTCCACTTCTGATAGGACTACAGAGGAGAGAGAATCCTGTATCTAAGAAGTGAGCATGGGCATCCTTAAGCCAAAAGGAAAGGGAGCGCCTTGCTACCTTACCACTGGTGGTCAGCATGCTTAGGAGGGAATTCACAGCCTAATGAGAAGAGTTGGGGTGTTTTTGAAAACCCCTCATAAGAGACAGCAACACACCTAATGACAATCCTAATTTTATGGACAAAATGCACTGTAATGGAAACTCATCTTTGTTTAAGAAGCAGTATAATGCAGTGATAGCATATCACTTCAAAGACTCCCACCCCACCACTAGAGGGAGAGAAAATCCTATGCATGTAAGTGTATTTGATTCCTTTCACAAATGGAAACCTTCCAGTTTATTGCATATTGCACAGCCCTTTCAAAATCCCACAAGAGTTAATGGCTCCCTTCTCCCTGCTAGGTTCTCTGTCATTTCCAGAAATGCCCAATGGTTTCCTCATGCGTGATCTCGTGTGTAGGAGTGCACTGTTTTCCAAGCATGCCTACTCTCTTGCTCCTTAGCTAGTGGGGTGCTGCCACTGAACCTCCTACCATAGGACTGTTTCGTGCCTTCCTCCTGCATGCCAAATCTGATATCTGTCAGAACTCTTACTGACAGACAGCTTTCTACCTGAGAGAGCTATTTTGGTTCCACCGAAAAGGTGGCTGTCATCTGGAAGACACAAAGATTTTCATTTTCAAGAAGCTCAAAAAGGTAGGACAGGGTTTCTAGCAAAAACATTTTCTTAGGGAGAGTTTCTCAGCTCTTATTTTGTTCATGTAATTGACACAGTACAAATAAATTTAGAACAAGTTTTTTAAAAGAGATGTAAACCAGAGCTGAACTTCAAGTTGTTATTTATAAACGGCAGTAGTTAGGAAGTGTGTCTAAAATACCATGTTTTGTTTTGTTTAGTATTCTTCAGAGAGTCTTTTAATGTCAGAGTTGGAATGCACTGGCTTGCCTCTGTGTTTGACTTAAAATCCCCAGGTATCTATAGGAACACATTGATTTCTGAACACACATCATTTTCCTCAAAGTCTAAGTTGTGTTAAATTGTCATCACTCCCTTTCTCATCCTTTCACTGGTTTGAATGGGGGTATGATGTGAAAACATGGTATTCTAGGATTTATAATATCTTCAGTTAACCTGGATACAATACGAGGGAATGATACAAGTGGTTCAGTGTTTCCTTTTTTTTTTTTAATGAAGTAAACTATTTTAATGGAAACATTAAAATTTCAAGCAAAATTAAAAAGGAGATAGTTTCTATTATTTATTTTAATAGTGTATCATGGCAGTGTATCTAAAAATCTATTTGGCCCTGCCGGCATGGCTCAGTGGCTGAGTGTCGACCCATGAACCTGTATGTCGAAGTTAGATTCCCATTCAGGGCACATGCCCAGGTTGAGGGCTCGACCCCCAGCAGGGGGCATGTAGGAGGCGGGCGATCAGTGACCACCTTTCATCATTGATGTTTCTATCTTTCCCTCTCCTTTCCTTTCTCTGAAATCAATAAAAACATTAAAAAAAAAAAAAAATGTATTTGNATCATTGATGTTTCTATCTCTCCCTCTCCTTTCCTTTCTCTGAAATCAATAAAAACATTTAAAAAAAAAAAAATGTATTGTATACAACTTTGAACCTTAAAATTGTGTTAACCTATCCTTTAATAAACTATGTTTGTCCTGTGGAAACAAAGGCAGGCCTTTAAGGATGTGTAGCAGACTAATAAACAGAATGCCCCTTGCAGTCTAACAGAGCTGGATGTGAATGCTTACTTTAGTGTTTCTATTGGTTCTGAAACTGTAGCACCCATCCTGCTGTCTTGACATTCTATGCCATGTGGGGAGGGAGCAAGGGTAGCTGGGTTAGTATAAATTCTCTTAGAAAAGAGGGGAAAACCCCACTTAAGGTGATGTACATATGAGAAAAATGGACAGCAAAAATTTCCACATAGGAAGAACAGTGGCACTGGAGGAAGCCCTGTTTTTGAAAAAGCATTCTAAAAACATAAAGTTCCTTCTTAGAAAAACCACATTTTAAGACCCAGTTAAGTGTTATTATGGGAAGAAGAAAGGCTGGGAGTACGTGCATGCTGGGCAGTGGAGAAAACAGTATTCATTTCCTTTTATTTTACCACAAAGTCTTGATTCTGATAAAGTACTGATGTGGAGGGAACAATCTCTTCCTCTAGAAGATTGCTGTGGGGCAGAGAAGTCTGTAACCTTTTCTTCTTTCCAAGACAGGGAACAGAGTGCCCTGTCCAATGTCTTTGTAGAGATGGAGTGCCATCTGGGGACGATGAGGCCAGTGCATGGCTGCTATTAGATTTGGCCAGCCCATAAACTGTAATCTCTCCACATCTTGGCTTCTTCAGTCTGGTCTCAAGGGATGGTTTGCTGTTTTTCCAGGCCTTTTCTTTTCTAGAAATCTGGAAGCAAACCAGAATGATGTGTAAGAAAGAAGTTCTACTTGTATGCATCCCCATGACTCACCACTTGCTTGAAAGAAGATACTCCTCAGTCAAAAGAAGGGAGTCACAGAACATGGTAAGCTGTGTCCCTGTAGGCTCTGTGTAGCATGTGGTCAGGTCCCTGCTATGCACTAGGAAGCTCTAACCTTTGTGTTTGGGAATTGGGTATTTGGCCTTGAAAGTTAAGGAGTTTGTACACACACACATACACACTTCTAAGTAGTATCTTATTTTGGAATAGTACACAAATAATGATTGAGAGCCTTTAGATTTCAGAACAGATGCTGTTTTTGTATGTCAGATGGTTCTGATGATTTTAAGTCTTTTGAGGAGCAAAAGTCTGACATTAAAGAACAACACCAGCAAGACCCACCTTTCCCTCAGTGAATGAACTCCTACTTACTTGACAGTGTATCAGAATCCACTGGAGTGGAACAGAAGAGAACAGAAAGGCTTATCTTACACATCCTGCCAGGTAATCGGTGTCCTTACCTGTGAGTATCTGAACTGGAATCTCTGTATCTGTGCTGCCCTTGAACCTAGAATGGATGGTTTGCACAAAGCAATAAAGGCTGAAATCTCATTGGTGGTAGAGCCTTCAGGGCTCACCACCATTTAACATATGGCTGTTGAGAGGAAATTTAGTGCTCCGTGAAGAGATGCCACATTGAATTAAAAATCAAGCAGCTCAATTTAAACACATTAGCAATTAAGCGTTACAGCTACTGAGATAAATGCAAAGAAAGAGACAGAAAAAAGTTCCCAGTGACTCATGAATACTAATTTGGGAGGGAGAGACCAGCACAGACATTATTCATGTCTCCTTGGAGCCTGACTCTAGATTCTAATTCAATAAGACTTGATAACTTGACCCAACAGTGATTTCAAGTTGATGTTGATTTCACACTTAGACCAGCTTTGCTACTAAAAGGCATTTTCACTTCTCTCACGTGCAATAAAAATGAAAAGAAATGATGTTAAGAATAGGACTGGATATGGTGTTTTTCAAAAGGCAAGAGAAAGAAAGATTATCTAAAATGTCACACTAGCAAATAATGGCCCATGTAGCCTAATTTCTATCAGTGTTCATTCTCTAAAGCTGTTACCTTTATTTTGGTTGCCATAGTACACTGGTATCTCTGGGAAACATTTTGCAGTGATTCAGAACCCATGACTTAAAAAAATGTATTTAGATTTATTAAATAAATGCAGTACCTTTTGTTTGCCCCACCAAAACTCACATCATCTCATGAAATGTTCTCACAATTTATGAGGGTCTGCTTGACATTTCACAACCTCTCAGTTAGTGTCCTTAGCAGATGTCAAAATGAAGAATCTTGAGTTTAGGAAAGAAAATATTTGTCTTGCTTAGTTTTCTAGACCGGCAACCATTTAGATGCCTGCGGCCTTTCTCTTGGGATCTATGACAGGAGAACATTAGCTGCTATGTAACAACCTCCCTTAAAGAAATTCTGTTTACTGGAACAGTAGCTCACTTCCCCAAGGAAGACCAAGAATATTTTGCTTTTGGCCTACATTATTTATTATCTTCTTCTAGAAATGTCAAGTAGACTTATCCTTATGCCCTTGTGTTCTCTTTACCCAACAGAGAGCTAAGGTGTTACTTATTTCAGAGTGATAGTATCCTTTTGCATTGGTTCTGTTGTGCAATGGATCATATGAACTCTGCTCTCACTGTGTAAGTAATAGTTGTTGTCCGTGGAGTTGAAAAATATAACCGAGTATGTGTTTTTTGTTGGATTTCTATGGTACCATTGAATCAAATATTGTGTTTACTCTTTCTTTTTTCAAAAAATGCTATTACTTATTTTCAGTTGTCAAGACACAGCAAACTTGGAAGTGGTAATTTTTACTCTGTCTGGAATGTAATGTGGCAAGACAGGCCAAATTATGGAAAATCAATTAGTTTCTGTTAACAAGAGTCCTGTGTCCAAGGTCCTGTTCTGTCTCTACTTCTGTATATAGCTAAAGTCTGCTCCTCTTCAAAGGGAGTCTTAGGAGAGTCCCACCCAAAGATTATTTTTCTAGAGCAAAAACCAGATAAGATCCAGCATTTAATCTTTGTTAATTAGCATAGAGGCAGAAATGATCACTTTACTTCCTATGTTTTTAAACTACATACTCTTGAAAGAGCAGTTAACATTCACTTTCTGAGGCCTCAAATTGCCCAAACCACAACTTCTAAATGATACTATTGTGCTTTTTGATATAAGATAAAAACTATAAGTTTTCCCAGGCATGTGGTTTCACATAAATCTCATCTATGTCAATAACTCTTCTCTGTTATCCCCTGGTATAAAATCAACTAATAAGTTCAATTGAACAAATATATCTACGCCTGAAGTTTTCATTACTTTATAATTTTATTTTTTCATAGGCTTACGGTAGAACATGCTTTTCTGCCAAGGTAAACATTGCCCCCAAATTTCCCCTTGCTTTTCTTTTTTATATGTTTTTAAATGGAGAGCTTTTGTTTCAAAGATTCATTTTGATGTCAGATCACTCCTTTATTACACCTAGAGAAACCACAAAGATCTAAAGACCAAGTGTATATTTTTAAAGGAAAACAACATTTATTGCTGATTTCAGAATATTAGTGATTTCATTTTCTCCACTATAGATCAGGACAACCATAATCAACAAAATCTTCAATTAACATCAACCTGCATTTAAAATAAAGCACAGGTGGAGAAGAATTGGTTTAAAGAGTTATTAAGCAACATAAAACTTACAGTAAGTCAAGTTAAAACTAACTCCTGTGTTATCTGGGGCCTGTAATTAATTTTTAAAAATCAAAACTTTTAAAAATAGCTTTCTGTTTTGAATTCTAGCATGATGCTGCTTTTTGTAGAGCCATTTCTATTAAATGTAAGTTTATTTATAGGTTGCAAGTGACTCAAAGATGTTACAGTATAAAAGGAAATGACACTCTGGAGTCTCTGTTCAGGGCTGTTTGGGGCTCCTTTAGAATGCTCAGTTTACTCAGAGGATTGCATTTAATCTTCTGAAGCAAAAGAACTTTCATAAATTAAAATTGTTGGCCAGATGGAATTTCCTGATTAATTTTTTAGTGTTTGGTGTTAAACATAATAATAAAAGGAAGAGTTCTGAGAGTAAACCCAATTAACATTTCATAAAATTTATTGCTCTAGATATGGCTTACCCTTTATTTTTATGGTTTCCATCACCATATTCCTGGAGAACCTGACTAGCTTAAAAATTGAGCATTGCCAACTCACCTCCTTCCTTCCCATTCGTTTGTTCCTTTTCTTCATTCAGTTTCCTTCTGTTTATTCTACAGCCATTCACTAGTCCTTACTAGGCTCCAGACACCATTCCTGGGCTTAGTTTATCCTGTTCTTTGTGGGTATTGGTAGAAAGAATATTTTTAACAGTCTGTAATAGTTAAGTCACTGCTGCTAGAATGATATCACTCTTGTACAAGAGACTCGTAATTCCATCTGTAATCATAGACTAGCTAATAATTTTATAAAAACTAGTCTTTGTGATGTTGAAAGCAAAGGTGGATGTTCTTCCTACATTTTCTTTTCAAGAAACATTTTCAGCTTTATTGAGGTGTAATTAGCAAATAGAATTATAAGATATTTAAAGTGTACATGATGATTTGATACATGTGTACATTGTAAAAAAAAATTACATCATCAAGTTAATTGACGCACCCATTACCTCACATATTTACCTTCTTTGGGGGAGGGGGGAGGAGAACATTTCAGTTCTATTCTCTTAGCAAATTTCAGTTATACAGTACAGTGTTATCAACTGTGGTCACCATGTTCTACATTAGATGCTCAGATTTATTCATTTTATAACTGAAAGTTTGTACACTTTTACTAACCTCTCCCTACTTCCCCCACTCCCTAGCCCCTGGCAATCACTTTTCTACTCTTCTATTTTTATGAGTTTTACTTTTTTAAAATTTAGATTCCACATATAAGTGGTATCATGCAGTGTTTGTCTTTCTCTGAGTGGCTTATTGCACTTAGCATAAGGCCCTTAAGGTTCAGCTCTCTCGTCGTAGATCACAGGATTTTATTCATTTTTAAGGCTGAATAATATTCCAGTTTTTGTATGTCCTATACTTTCTTTATCCATTAATTGGTCAGTGGACACTTAAGGTTGTTTCCATACCATTTATTATGCTTAATGCTGCAATGAATATGGGAGTACAGAGATTTTCAAGATAATGATCTTGGGGTTTGTTGTTGTTCTTCAGATATATACCCAGAAGTAGGATAGCTGGATCATATGGTAGTTCTATTTTTAATTTCTTGAGGAACCTCTACTTTCCTATAGTAGCTGGATGCTCCCGTTTGCATTCAAGATAAATATATTCATTTGGATATGAGGGTATTGCAAAGACAAACTTTTGAAAAGAGACTCTGCCCTACTAGACTGAGATTTTTGAGGACAAGAACCATATCTGTCATGTGTCATGTCCCTTCCATTCTCAACACTATGTTAGCCACACTGGCTACCATCTACCCACTGCTTCTGGGAATTATTGACCCTTCCCCACCCACCCCATCCACATGACCATCAAGCTGAGCTAGGACTCCATGCCAGGGCTGGCTCCATAATTTATGGGATCCAGTACAGAATTAAAATGCAGAATCTCTTGTTCAAAAATGTTTTAAGAATTTCTAGATGGTCACAGCAGAGCATTAACTTGAGCATGCCATCCTTTGAAGCATAGGTCCCTGTGTGACAGCATGGGTTGCATGCCCATGAATCTGGGCCTGCTCTGCACACACAGGGCCATGGCTTATTGAGTCCTGGGGGAAGGGAATATTTGACCCATGTAGGATCAATCAGAACCCTTTTCTGGTTTGTTTATTTGTACCAGAACTAAGAAAAGAAGCTTGTTCAACTGGATAAAACTAGGACCTGCCAGCAATCTTGTTACCAGCCATGTGAAGAAAGCTATCGATGTGCCCAGCAATCCCCCCTTTGTATCTCAGACATGTGCAGGGAATTTTGCTCATGCCCCAAAGATCACCTAAGGTTCTGACAGCCTGCTAGTGTTCCTGCACCCCT